TATATATATATATATATATATATATATATATATATATATATATAATTCCATACATACTAAATATATTTACTTGCAGATAAAAGGGATGTCTACATTTCCAAATGGTTCGCATTTAAGAGGATGCACTTTCTACTAGACAAGGATGAGCCCAAAAATAACAGTCACACTGAGACAGTACGTATTATAATGATATTCTTAATATCGTACTTGCTAAAAGAAAATTGATGTAGAGAGATTATTATATTATTTATTAATAGGATACACAAAGTATTTCTCTCTCTATACAGATACTCTTTAATAAACTTTACTTTTTATCGAACATGTTCAACATATCCAAGAATCTCTATTTGCAGGGCAATTCAGATCTAACGAACGAATCCGGCCCTTCGTCGCCTTTGTCAGATGAATATTATCACGAGCCAACAACCATCATAGAGACACATGACGACTCCCATGTGATGTTACTGGACAACGATCAGAGCAACTTGACTGTGGATGAGACAGATGACTTGCTGGGAAAAGAGATGAGAGATCCGGTGTCTAAGCGATCGAGAAAGATGAAACTGTCGCAGGATGATCGTAGGGTCGAGCAATCATTCGACGCGCTGCAGGATATGTATTCGCCCGCGCGAGCGCAATTTATGCCTCTCCAGGATCGTTTCTCCACGTACGGCGAACATGTAGCGAACAAACTACGTACGTACAGCACGAGGACGCAGGCAATCGTCGAGCATGCGATAAACAATATCCTCTTTGAAGCGGATATGGGCAACTACGAGAAATTCGAGGCGGACGATCCGATGATCTACAATCATTTCCTGAAATGTCCTGTGGTCTCATCCAGCACGGCGTCGTCGTGCCACAAGTCGGAGCCGTCGTAACGATTGACTCGACATAAGTTTAAATTACTGTGACGCTGCAACATTCTTGAGCGAAATGTGAATTCCATTGAATGAACCATTGGTGTAAATTAAGTCTGATATCGATTTTGTGTGTGCGTGCTTGTATGTGCACGCTAAAAAAGATTTGTATATATAATAAGTATATATAGTCATACATAATAATACATATATAGCTTATGAGGCAACTTTTACTTTGAAATAAAAACTAATGGCGAATTCGATTGGATGCACTAGTGCGCACCGACGCACACTGCTCCAGTCTGCTCTGGTCCATCCAGTCAAATTCGTCATAAAAGCTGATACGACACGTCACGGGCGGTTCATGTTCCATGCATTCCAAGACTTCCATTAACAATCGTATGTTTAATTAGTCGTACAGGCGATTTGAAGGTACTAACACAATTTTGAATTTTATTTTTTATTCAAATTACGCGCCTTATTTGGTATGTAGTTAGAGCAATTGTCAATTTCATAATTTCTTACACACTTGTTTTATTCTTAATATGTATTTTCTTTTAGTTATGCGTAAAAAGCATACACTGTTAACGACCCCGCAGTTTTTTTCGCGCTCTCGCTTTGAGTCAAGACGTTGCGGAAGGCTTGAGAAAGGGGTTGAGAAAGGCGCGATCCCTACTACCTCGCAGCTCCGCACTACCGAAGAAAGAGCCCGGTGACGCGGCTCACGTTCCCATAACGACCAGTGTTTCCCTTAACGACCAACATGGCTGAAGCTGAGGGTAAGTAAGTCCGCGGCGTGTGCGGTTTGAGTGACATCGTCGCGTGTATATTTACGACGGGCGCGAATAACACGTCGAGAGATCCCGACCGGTCCAGCGTTCTCCGCGGCTTTTCCCGCCGTTGTCGTCATCGTCGTCGTCCGCCGCTTCCGGCTGTCCAACGCGCTATTTCACAGCCCCACCGCCACCTCCATCTATTCTAATTATAGGGTAAACAGCGTAGCCGCTGGTGGCTTACGGTCGCGGGAAGAAATATTGCCGGAGACTGTCTCGACGGAGAAGCTATTGACCTCTGTTTCGTAACACAGAATGGAGTTTGAGAGCGCACGCCTCGGGACGGGTGCAACGAGGATGCACGTGGTAGATAATCACTGTGGTGTCACACGCTCGCGCTGGCTCTGATGACACTTCTCGCGTAGGTTTATTCCGACTACTTTTGTCTCTCTCTACATTTCTTTTTTTATTAGAATTTAATTCTTATTTCTTCTTTTTTATTAAAATAGAATGTAGGCAGCCTTAGATAATATTTTTCTTGGAGCCTTGGTGCTCCGAGGAGACTCGTCTTCGCACTGTTTACTCTATTACGCGGTGGTACACGAGAAAGATGCACGAGAAGGAAGCGAGAAAAGAAACGGTTCACTTTGTGAGACGGCGATAGAGCCAAAAATAAATACCCGGCGCGAGACACACTCGCGGTTACAAGTCGCGGTTGTAAGAGGCTGCTCTTACAAGAGCCGGCACGCCGCCGGACGGCCTCTCAGTCGGTGTCTTGATGCGCTCGCAATCTGATGCTGTGCTGCGTTCCGAAGAGGCTCGCGGACGGGGGCCCGTTTTACGACGAGGCTTCGACCACGCCGCCGTCCGTTCACGAGATACAGTTCGAGCTGTATCCTGAGGAAGGTGAGCCCGCAAGTTCATCTGTTCGTGGTTACGGTATCCAGTATCCATTTTTTCACAAGACAGAGTAATTTTTCGAGAAATTGGTAAATCCGAATAGTTCGATCAGAAATCGTTCTGTATTTATTTATATAGTCCTATCGTCTCACAAAGTGAATTTCATGATGACTGAAGAACGCATTGTCGAACGTGCATACCGTTAGGATAGAATACTGGAATGCAATTACCCATAATTTAGCAGCTAGAAATTTTTAAATTGGCTTTTAGAAATTGATATAGCTCAAGCATAAGTTATAGTTTAAAAAAAGCTCTTACCGTGACATACAAAACATCGAAAAAAGTTTGTTTACATTTGAATAGATGATTCTGTTTTTGTGTTTTTTGATGTTTAACTCACTTCTCTAATCAAAGTAAAGCGAACGTAGTTATAGACATGTGTTATGTTAAATAGTAAAAAATTACTAACATTGTTTCCTTACAAAATAGCTAGTTAACTACGCAGACCTGTTTTTCACTTCCTACCGAACGGTTGTTTCTTTTCGCTTATCACTTCGCGGTGCACGTCTAAAAGTGGTTGTGAGAATTGTTAATACGCGCCTCCGCAACTGCATACTGATTAATTCGCACCGACTCAGCAATTGCATTACGAGTCTCGACGACCTTAGACGCGCGAAGTACAGTAATAGCTCGCGTGGAAAAAACTTCGTCGGTTCTTTCTAATGCGGCACGCGCAGAAAGAAAAGGTAAGCAAAACGGTCATTCGTAGGCGTCGTTAAACGGAACGTCACGTTGGAATGAGATCATTTAACAGCGACGCGGGTTTGTTGTCACGCCCTCGTGAAAAATTACTGGAGATCTTTCATCGCCATTACCGGTATCGTGGCACTGAGAAACAGGAAACGCGCATTAATAATATCGAACGCGATTGGAAGGATATTAATTTAGACAGAACGTATGCTTGCGTGTGTAAGTTTCGAGATAACAAATATCACGTATTATATTATGTAAAAGAACGTAAAACTTGCACGTGACCAAACGGAGACAAACCACACTGACCCACATTCTCACGACGCATTTAACGCTAAACGCAGTAATCTCGCCTCGTGTTGGCATTGAAGCCGCCAAATAAAATCCGACGAAATTCTTCGACACACATGTAGCGTTAAATGAGACGAGAACTCGCATCTATGGGCACGTCGAAGTGAAAAAGGAGTTCGCCCACTCGGAGAAGATTCGCGTCGAGTCTCTCCTCCGTTCAGAGGAAAGATCCGCGAACGGAAGGAACGGATTCTCCTCTCGCGATTCTTTCTGCGCGCGTGATAGATAAACACAACGTTCGATAATCGCGAGGCACTTCGCGCGACGCCTAAAAAAGGAAGCTTGCTCGCCTGTAGGCGAGCGAGTCTCGCGGGGGCGACCCTCGGCGTCTTCGGCGTCCTCGTCGGCGGAGCGCGCGCGTATCGGCGCTGCAGGTGTCCACGCGCAATGTGTACGCCTAAGAATTGATCGTGCAATCGCCTCTTGGCAGTTGAAACAGTGAAAAGCGAAGCTTCCTAGTCGAAGGCGCGATATTAAAGTTCCTCTTGACGATGAGATTCGATTTGAGCAAAACCAACGTGAAATTCGTTGAGATGTGCGCGCTGTGAAAAGTGTAAAAATGTTATGTAAGTGTTAAAAATGTATTATTAATTGTGTTAACACGCTTGCGGCGTGATTGCGAAAGCACGATGATGTATTGAGGAGACATAGACGAGCTTCAGTCACCTTTGGTTGCGGTTTTTATGAGCTGTTTATTTTATATGTGGTGGAAATGTTGACGCGGTGAATTAGCGACTTGTCGAAGAAAAATATAACCGAAGAAACCCACATAGCATTAAAGTTAGTGTTATTATTGCTAAAATGTTGCTATAATATTTCAGTGAATTAAATTTTTTGCATGGGAATGTAATGTTGTAATTTTTTCTGTAGGAGAGCAGCATGTTTATACCATTAAAACGTTAGCTTAAGATGGTAAAGTAATGATATTTTGATAGATATTGAAGTAATATTAATTCCACCACAAGGCAACACCTTGAATTAACCAAGCAAACTGTGTATTAATACTTACGTTTGAAGTTTATTAAAAGTCTCGGAAAGTGTATATAATATTTTAAGAGATCACGGTGATATCGCTACTATCTTTAGCAACATAATTAAAAGTTTCTCAAATTTAATATCAGTGTAACACTTTTGTGCTATGTGAAGAAAGAGTTTTGTGCATCGTCGATCGTTGACAACGTGTAAAAAAAGGATACACGCAGATTTGTCGAAACTTGCGTGGGAGAAGTGAACTTACACCACACTGAAAAATGAACGGCTCATTGAGTGCGCATGTTATCGCGTAATGCACAGTTCATAACAACTGGGGCACTCTCCTGCGAGTGATGGTCTCTCGCAAGCGGAAAACAGTATGTAGCTATCGTTGCGCAATTCCTGCGGCGAGATCGAAGAAAGTGCAATTTGCAATTTAGATGCCCGGCGCTTCCGATCTCGCGGCGTCTTGCATTACCGCGCGGGATTTTCGAGGTCTCGCGGTTTTTTACGCGCGCGCGTCTAACGTCCGTTGCATGTGTCTGTGTGTCGCCGCATCCTGTGACATGTACCTGTGCGCCGCGTGTATGTCGTATTTGGCGATCTCTCGGCGTGTTGTCGACGGCGAAAATATCGATTATCCGCGGATTCGTGGCCTTTGTCAGAATGAATAGCGATTAGTGCGCGGTGAGTCAGATAGAGCTCCGTATGTGTAACGATCGAGGCAGTTGTCGAGTTTCTTACTGAACGTTTCTCGACGAAGACGAGCGCCATGTTTCCGCGTTTATCGCATTTGCATATAAAGTAAACAAGGAACAATTCTAGACATCACGTTATTTAGCCTCGGGCTAAAAAGAAGCGAAAACAGAAAAAGAGAGAGAACGTTATTCCAGCCGGCAGAGGAAGTGCCTCGTTCGCGTTGCAATTTAATACGAACTCAAATCGCGAGACGAGGCACGGATCGATTCCGTAGATCTATTAATCATTGGACGATAAATGGATGCAGATGCACCGCCGCCGATTCTACTGCCGTGCGCAATCTGCGCGCGGACCTTCATGCCGCAGTCATTGGAGAAGCACACGAGGATATGCGAGCGCACCGCCGTCAAGAAGCGCAAACCCTTCGACTCGGCGAAGCAGAGAATTCAGGGCACCGAGCTGGCCGAGTTCTTGCCGAAGCAGGAGACGCGGCGACACCAGGATGAAAGGAGCCGCACTATCTCACCCACTTGGAAAAAGACCCACGATGACTTCCTACGAGTCATCCGCGAAGCGCGCGGCGAAGTCGTGAGTTCTTTCACTTCTTTAGAGAGCGCCGTATTTGTAATAATTATTGCACAAAATTAAATTATTAATTAAATTATTTTCACATCAAAAGTGTCCAGTGAGCAAGAAATTGTTAACAAAATATTATTGTAATGATATTTAATAGCGTATAGCATTTTTTAATATACAGTTTTAAGCAGTTAGCAATAATATTACGAATAACTTTGACTTTAATATGTTTAAAATACTTTTTGCAATATTTAAAAGTACTGTATATTATCTAGTAATGTCTTTGAAGTTTTTAAAATATTAAGTGAAAACGTTCAAGAGAGAAACACTTATTCTTGATACGGTGTGTTACACCGTAATTAATTCGGTTGTACCTTCGTGTTACACTGTAATTAATAAATTTTTACTGTTTGTTTTTTTAGATGAACTCACGCAACAAACAATGTAATTCGCTGAGCTCGTCTGGCGCGCCGACTCGCGCAAACGAGAAGGGCACCTGTCCCACGTGTAATCGACAGTTTGGCATTAAGGCTTACGACCGTCACGTGGCCTGGTGCAAGGACAGGGTTATCAGTGTGCCAGTGAGCCCAGCAGTCAATCTGGCGAAAGAACGACTGGAAGCGCGCATGAGATATAGAGCGCCAGTCCTGAAAAATCGGCGAGCCGCCACTCGCGAAAAGTATAGTCCGACCTCAGCAGGAAATCAATGCAAGATCTCGTTGTCGGCACCAGCACTTGTGAAACCCAAGGAGAGCGTCTCGATGTCCAACTGTAGCCGGGAGAGCCCTAACAAGCAGAAACCAGCTGTCGTGTAAGTCGATTTCTCAACCTTCCTTCACTAATAGCCGCCTTCGAGATCTTCTCAGATCTTGGACTTTAAAAATAAAATGCGATGTGTTTTCTAAACTTGGCTTAATCATTTTTATATTTTTATATTTTTATAATATATATGTTCTATTAATTATGAATTTGTTTACGAAAAATTCGCATTGACTCTTTAGTCTATTTTTGACTGAATTAACTTTATTATATTTGTGACTTTACAGCAGACGTCCTGGACAGCTCAAAGAATCTCCCATCTCCTCTGGACCTATGAAATCTCGCCTCGCAGATCGCACAAACAAGTAAGATTCTGTTTAACGTTGTTAAATTTTCCAAAAGACAGAGAGTGCCGACTCTGTGGATTTTATAAGATAAGCGTAGTAAGCGTAAGTGAAATAAACTTATGCTTAATGCCGCCCATGAGGAGAAGGAAAAAGAATGACAATAATCAGTAGTAGATAAGAAAGACACGGCATGTTTGACGAAGTTTAAGTGCATCGTAAAGATAACATCATAGTCGTTTCTCCACACGCACTTATAGTCCGATAACCTTCTCCTGATGATTATCAGGCGCACATCCTTGATCCTACTTCCTTCTCCTCAGGCCAGCGGAAGATCACAATCACGAACACTTGCCGAAAACACTCTATCGATCTCCTCACATCCCAGTATCTTCCCGTCGTCCTCCATATATTTCTATACCCTCCTTGAGACCCAAGATTAGCGAATCCATCTCTTCTAACGAGATTGCGTCACTTAATTTGACTGGGAGACAATCCGATCGAAACGAAACGATCTCTCATCGCGTTTCAAACGATGAGGCGAGAAATCGGGAAGCCTGCAACACAACTAAAACGCAGAAGAAATTCGTTTCTACTAGGAGTCGCGGTAATCCGAAACTCAACGATATCACCGTGAATGATAAAACTTTAGGCGTGACGGTGAAACCATGCAGGATATATAAGGATCTACAAAAGGATCAGTTGATTACATGGAAGCAGATAAGTCATAAGAAGATTAGTCGTCAAGCAGTTGATTTTGTAATTAACTGTAATTTTCCACAAGAGTTTCAGCTCGACAATCTGGACCGACAACGTGACGAAGAGAGAGAAATCGACACGATTACAGATGAAAATAGGACGGAGAAAGATTCGTCGACTGTGAAAAACGAATCTGATAGTAAATTGAAAGTTTACGAGCTCAATGAAGAGGATGATAATTATATTTCATGGTTGGATCATATTCAGAACTTGAATCAAACATACTTGATTAGAGATTCGGAGGATATCGAGCAGTCAGAGATTTTTTCAAGCAAGTGGAGACCGATTAAGCACAGTCCTCGTGTGGAATTCTATTTTAAAGATACGGGAGAGACCGAAGTCTGCGAAGTAAATGAAAAGAAATTAAAAAGAAACACCAAAACGAACGACAAAAAGACCAGAGTCGCCATAGTAGAGGAATTAAATATGAATAACGACGATAAAGAATATAATTCGAACGTAAATAGCGAACACGAGGCAGAAGTTTTAGAACACAGAACAGAGAGAGTGAGACCAAACAGTGAAGATGAAAAAGATATTCAGAAGACAAGTAATATAGACGCTGTGGACTGGAATGAATTATGTGTGAATGAGAAACATGAGAAAGACAAACAGATAACGATGGATGAAGATACTGCTAAAGCCAAAAAAATATTTGAAGAAATTAAGAATTCGCTGAACAATATTTCACAAACTTTATACGATTCTCATGAACATAAATCACCTACACTCGATCTTGCTGCACTGGAGGCATCGGTAGGATATGAGGAATCTTCATCAAGAGAATTCAAGATAGACTTTGCAGATAATAATGATCTTCCCTCAAATAACAGACCTTCTTGTTCGAAACGCAAAGATCTAACATTTCATTTTAATGATAGAAGTGATTTGGCATTTTCAGATATCTTCATCAATCAAAATCAGAATTATATGTACTCTGAAGATGATAGATCGATAAAATGCAAAAGCGATATGTACCACAGCAAAGCAAAAGAGTACTTTAATACCAATGATTTAGAAAATAACAAGAGAACAGATGGTAATTTCAATGTCGATAACGACTCGAATATTAGGACTGAAATTTTTACCCGTTCGATAGATGAAAAAAAAAGTACGACGGACGAAAATTCACGCAAAGTATACGTTAAACGCATCAACAGCAATATAGATTATAACGACGGCAATATTACTGTGGAGGACAACACGCGAGGCGATAACGACTTAAAGTCGTTAATCACGTTGAAGGACGTCGGCGTCGAGGAGTCGCGACGTTGCCGTGAAAAAGTTGTCTTGGACACGAATGTAAATTTATCGAGGCGCGTTTCTAGCTCGACCAGAAGGAACGTGACAGATCGTCCGAAGAATTCTATCGAAATGACACACAAGATCAAGGGCAGTATGAATCTTCTTCGCGGCAGCACCGATTCTTTGATATCCTCGGTGGAATTCGTAGAGTTCACGAGTATTGAACAGCCGGCAGCTAATCGCGCTCACGAGAGAGAAATTATAAAGATAAACAGGCCAAGCAGACGAAGCAGGATGCGTGAAATTCTACCGGATATATCGGGTGAGCCGATAGAAACGAGGGAAAATAGTGAAAGGTCGGCGAATCAGACGTATTGGGAGAGAGCCTCAAAGATCTCGCGGAGTAAACTGATCAGCCTCGATCCTTCATGTCACGTGGGGTACAAACTCATCAAGAGAAATCCCAGAATCCATATCCTTCCGCCAGTCCTGAGTTCGCCCTTGACTCAACCAAGGTAGTGATCGATAGCGGAGAACAGTAGAAAAGAATGTGAAAGAAGTAAAAAGGCATACAGTTAATGAGTGTGTAATTTGCAATATAGATTGGTATTTAATTAGGCGTCAAATATCAGTATCAGCTCGTATTGCTGACTGCACTGCAAAAAGTAGAACATAGTAGTAATATAAGAACTGTAGACCTTCCCAGTAAAACGGTAGTTGGAATTTAACGCTTTAACAACTTTAACTATATTATAGGAAAATCGAACTGGCGACACGTCCCGCCTGGTGCAATTATGTACGCAGTCGACCGGACTTTAATCTCATACTTAAAGCTAGAACGTAAGTTCCAGGAACGTGGAACACCGATGGCACGAGGCGGATTTTTTATGTTTCCTCTTACGTTCGTTGACAGCATTGATTGCTTGTTAGCAATATTTCTGAGCATTATATAAGATGCACTAAAACTGACACAGCGTTATTTCTTATTTAATCAGTGAGAATTAATTTTCTGAATTAAAATTAAGTTTTTCATTCTTAGTTCTTTAAAGTTAGATTCTAAAACTTTCTTTCGACACTTCACAGCTCGTGAAAGACTTTCATTGTAACTCTGATATTCTTGCTAAAGATCGATTCTAATACTGCAATTCTCAGCAAATATACGAGTAAATCGTAAAGTCGTAGCTTACGTATGAATCGTCTACTCATAAGTTCTTACGAATCTTACAAGAACAAATTACGAGCTTTACGATTTTGTCTAGAATGAGTAATATAAATTCCTCGGGGAATAACGTTGTGTAAGCTCACCAAGTAATTATATCACAAATCTGACGATCAAATTAGAACTTGCATGCAAGTTTATCGTACGGGCGTTTGCCTAGAAAATTGATTGGCATACGTCTGCAGGAGCAGTTTACCTGAGGTAAAACACTCACAAGCGTGAAGCACGCCATGTTATCACGCACATTGCACTGTGTAGTTATGTTCACCTATCGTTGTTGTAGCGTCGAAACAATTCCCCGACCCAAAGATCACTCTAATCGAACATCAATTTATAATTGCAGCGGCACATGCAAGGACTACGACCCATTCCTACTAGCCGAGCAGCAGATGAACGACCTGCTGTCGGACACGAGCGATCAATCTATGATAGGCAGTTCTAAACCTCAAACACGCGACAATCTTTATCCTCTCTCTCATTCGTCCGCCTTCGTGAAATATCCTCGCCCAACGAATCCTATCAATCCCGACAAGAGAACTTCCCTGATAGCGCCTCCTTCTGAATTCGACGATCTCATCTCCGACTTCTCGAGCGACTCGACCGAGACCAACTCGATCTCGCGCGAGATCTTCCTGAAGGATCTCAGTAGCGCCAAGGACACGGCGGACCTGTCGGGCCTGAAACCTGTCCGCGAGCTAGGTAGACGGCTGATCATCGACAAGACAAAGGCGCTAGGTAGTGATCTGATCGAAGAGCGTCGCGGCGTTATCGGCAGTGCAGACAAAGCGCGTAAGAACCTCGACACACTCATGCCCAAAATTGTGTCCAAGACCACGCGACCGCTCATCAATCGTTCCAATTCGATACGCGCCTCATCCGCACCCAGAAGCAACGCGAGCTCCGACGGGAAGGTCTCGAGCGACACCAGGAAGGTCGCTGCCAAGTCGATCGAGAGTCGGAGATCATCAGATCAGAGTCTCAATCAGAGAAACAACAATTACTCGTCCTTGTCCGGCAGCAATCTCAGCCTCAGCTCGATTGTCTCCTCGGAGATGGATATCAAGCGGTCGAACTCGGTGTTCGACGAATTGATGACGTCCTTCGAGGAGGACATTTCGTTTCCCACTCTGCGATCCTACCTTAATAACGAATCCTTCGACGTGTCCAGCTCCATGCTCGGCGACGGCCAGCGAAACGGCATTGTCAGCGACGAGGAGCTGTCTTCACCCGACAGCTACAAGCCACAGGATCATAGCAAGCTCAGCAACGACTCCGCTTACAGCAGGTTGGTCTGCATAATTATTTATTAAATTGACAAATCTCATCGCAGATCGAGATAAAATGTAAATTGATAATTAATCATCTATACTTGCTGCATTAAATATGTTATATATGTATAATTTTATATCATATAATTATATATATATATATATATATATATATATATATATATATATATATATATATGTTAATTTTTTATCACGTCGTAAAATATCACCTATCTTCTGTGTTCTGTGTGTCTTTGTGTGCTTAAAACTCAATTCAATTTATGCCCCTTAGTTTAAATCGCAAATATTCGCACCACGGACGCAGCACTAACGACGTAGTCGGCCGTCTCGACGAAGACGTGACCAGAAACGAGACGCCTTCGCAGACGATCAAGTGCAAGATGTCCAAGTTCTGTCATGAGTGCGGCCTGCGGTTTCCGGAAAACGCGAAATTCTGTTGCGAATGTGGCGTCAGAAGACTCGCGCTGTGAGATCGTCATGATCGTCGTCTTATCGACTTTGATACTCGGGAGCAGCGAAGATTAGATATCGCCGAAAGGATATTCTTCAGAGGGGCAGCGCGTTCCGAACGAAAATATTTCGAAAGGATTTTTCGAGACCGAGGACTCTCCCCGCGAATATTCTATAAAGAAGAAAATGACGGATTAACTGCCTTCTTACGCTTACACATATAAGCGCTCTATGATTCAGACGGCTTTTATAAAAAGAAAAAAATTTCGGAATTTTGAATACCTTTTATGAATCTTGAAATAGCATTTTTTACCGCGCAATGGAATTTTTTTGATCTACTTTAGTTCGCTTCGTAGACAATGCGTCGATTTGTTCGCTATGTTTGAATAGTCTAACGATATATTTGATAACCATTTTTCGTCGCACACGTATATACACATACATTGAGAGTTGCCGATCAATCGTCCTCAAAGTCCGTCCTCTTTTTTTACAAATTTGCAAGCGTGTCTTTTTGATAAGCTTTTTGTACTACGAGAAGAACTGCAGAATCTCAAATATGTATATGTGTGTGTATGCGTGTATGTATGTATATCTTATGTTGAAAATAAGCGAATTAAAATAACCTGCGTTTATTCCGGCAACAGCAGAAATGAGGACTGTCATTAAAATTGTCATATATATATCATCTTATTTATTTCTATACGTATTTTATTTTAATTATAATCAAAGGAAATAAATAAATAATGAATTGAGGAAACTTACATACGTAGACCTCTAAAACAGAATTAAGATGTATTAAAGTAAATTTTCACTTCTCGTTCAAGTTAGTATCGATTGATTTCAAATCTCAAGTAACTGATCTTAAAGAAATGAACTTCTTTCGATTAATTTTAATTCTCTTAATTTTTACAGGGAGTCTCGTGTTATGTGTCGTGTATGTAACAAGATAGATCGTAGGATAAGATTAGAAGATAAGTAGTGGTGATTAGACGAGCCGCCAATACAACTCGCGTTCGCTCAATTAACGCTAATCACTAACGAGAAGAAATAACGAATTGCGGGGAAGTGCGATGCGTACAATGTAACGATTCTAATGCGAGTGATCCGCCGAGTGCGTGTAGTTGGCTCTCTGGTGTTTGTACCGTACCAAAGAGTAACATTGCGATAAGCGTTTGACAAAACTCACAACGATCGACGTTTAACTTGAAGAAAAGAGACTAATGGTATGCAATAGATAAATTGTATATGTTTCAAACTGTATTTTTGCAAGTGCAATAAATCGATGCTTATACAGAGTTGGTAAACCCGATTCGTCATTTCTCTCCGCGACTACGGAGAGCTCTCTGCGACTCTGCAATAATAAACGCGGAATGTTACGCATGAAGCATCACAAATATATTTGTTCTCATTTGTTTTGCGATTCAACAAATGAGCGTATAGAAACTGAAAGAGCTTTATCAGTCATGACAGTTGTTAAGATACTCACAAGTCCGTTGAGTATCTGCGAAGATGTGGCACCGATCAATCAGTCGATTAACGCAGACACGTGGAATTTTCGTAAGATCTGGTCAATTCCAAACGCGCACGCACGAGACGATGATTTATAGCGTGAATTTTTCTTTTAGAAATATGTGAAACAATTTCGCGCGACGATTAGAAATTCTAGAAGCTTTCACGTAAATGTCAGTCCAGCGGAAAAAGCGAAATGCGGCACAGAGACCAACGGTAGTGTAAGTGCATTTATCCAAACTTGTCAAAATTTTTTAAGCTTAAGCATTTTTTTACAAAATGTTAATTTCGAAAATTATTGTCAATCTCTCTAAAGACACAATCTACATTTTTAATTATGATTAAAGTTTTTTTTTATCGATTGATTACGGTTTTATATTGTCATTTGGATTACTTCTGCAAGAAATTCTGCAGTTGTGACACATTAATCAACTGCTAATTCATTCGTATCGATTGCAGTATCCCTTGATAGATCATTGCTACGATGCGGTGGTAGTGGGAGCAGGAGGTGCAGGATTGAGGGCTGCTTTCGGCCTCGGTAGCAAAGGATATCGTGTGGCAGTGGTAACGAAGCTCTTCCCAACCAGATCGCACACCGTGGCTGCCCAAGGTGGTATCAACGCTGCTTTGAATGATGAAAATAATGAAAATGAAGACAACTGGCTGTATCATATGTACGACACCGTGAAAGGATCAGACTGGTTGGGCGACCAGGACGCCATACACTTTCTCTCGAGGGAAGCCTCTCGTGTGGTTTACGAGCTTGAGAATTACGGTAAGCGCGGCAATAAATCACGCACGTTTATACAAATAACATTTTTATAATGCTCACGTAAGGACGAAAATTCTTTTCGTTGCCAAAAGACGAATGAAGATGATGCAGAGCCGCTGTAAACTCAAGCGTTTCCTTCCCTACGAATTTCTGTAGAGATTCTAGAAAAGAATTTTTAACTAATTTAATCGAGATTCTAAAAATACTTTTTACCAACTATAGCGTGTATTGTCGTCGTAGGTTGCCCCTTCAGTCGTACAGACGAAGGTAAAATTTACCAGCGCGCTTTCGGCGGACAGTCTTTGAAATTCGGGAAAGGCGGTCAAGCTCATCGAACTTGCGCTGTTGCTGATAGGACCGGCCATGCACTGCTTCATACCCTCTACGGGCAGAGTCTTCGCTACGACGTGCACTACTTTATCGAGTACTTCGCCCTGGACCTACTCATGCATGGTCGATGTTGCAAGGGTATCTTAGCTTGGGAATTGGAGACTGGTCTTCTGCATCGCTTCAGGGCTCATCATACAGTAAGGAGAAGATTGTTAAGTTCTATCTATTAATAGAACGAATTAATCTATTAATAGAAACGAATAAATTGAGACCAAATTGGTACTTATTAATAGACAAATTGAAATTTATCAAATTAATATCTATTAATAAACTAACTGAAATCTATCGAAGTAATATTTGTTGATCTATCGAGTTAATATAGACAAATGAATTAATCGATATCGAAACAACTTCGTAGGTGATCGCAACGGGCGGCGCCGGAAGATGCTACTATTCTTGCACAGCAGCTCACGCCTGCACTGGCGACGGCATGGCGATTGCTTGTCGCGCGGGCTTGCCGTTGCAGGACATGGAATTCGTCCAATTTCATCCGACCGGTACACAGATCGACAAATTCAGCTTCTTATTCTGTTACTATTCTAACTGGTAAATTCTTCACATAGGCATCTACGGCAGCGGTATACTCATCACTGAAGGCAGCAGAGGGGAAGGCGGCAAACTCATGAACTGCAATGGGGAATTCTTCATGGAGAAATACGCGCCCGTAGCCAAGGATCTAGCCTCGCGCGACGTGGTGTCGAGAGCTATGACCCTCGAGTTGTTGGAAGGAAGGTGAGACGGTGATTCCTCGCAGCTTAATCAAGTCCACAATTAGGTCACTGAGTATTTCAAAGAACTATGAATGGACTATAAAAGGAGGAGTATAAAACGTCCGAAATACGTTAGCGTATTTTTCACAGAGGCTGCGGGAAAAAGAAAGATTACATTCAGTTGCAATTGAGTCACCTGCCGCCTGACCTGATAAAACAAAGACTACCGGGAATTTCGCACCTCGCTTGGGTGTTCGCTGGTGTGGACGTAGAGAAAGACCCGATCCCTGTGATCCCTACGGTGCATTACAACATGGGCGGTATACCTACGAATTGGCGTGCACAGGTGAGAGATGAAAATAAAAATTGCCTACGTAGAAGATAACAGGAAACAATATGTGATAAAAGAACTGATAATGTGTGTTTATGAACACGCTGTTAACTTGGTGTTGTAATTACATTCGGTTATCTTCAGGTGCTAACGCGAGAAAACGAGGAGGATAGACCGATTGAAGGTCTCTGGGCTGCCGGAGAGACCGCGTGTGCATCCGTACATGGTGCTAACCGATTGGGCGCTAACAGCCTCTTGGAAATCGTGGTCTTCGGCAAAGCTATCGCCGATCAGATCGACTGCGTGAGCAGGCCTGGCGAGCGTCACGAGGATCTGTCGCCGGTAAGTAACTTAGTAGAATATTTTCAAAACGTCAAAAGTGCCTAGAAACACTTGGAGTTTTATTTGATGAAAATTTGCTTAATTAAAATTTTAATCGGATAATTAAATTGCAGGAAATCGGCGAGCAGACGATATGTCGCTTCGACGCGACTCGCTATGCGAAAGGTTGCGTTCCTGTGGTCGAGCTGCGCGAGGAAATGCAACGTACGATGCAGAACTATTGCGCGGTATTCCGAACTTGCGACATACTGCAACGTGCATGCAGGGAAATCACTCGATTTTACACCTGTGATCTTCCGGATTTGTGTGTGAGTTAATTGCACGTTTATGTTATTTAGTCTCTCTCTATCGCTCGTATAAATTGCCAGATTACGACATAAGAGCTGAGAAGATAAATTGTATTATGTATTCGGTGACGTAACATACCGTTACGTAAGATAATGACACATACGGAACTCTTTTATTCCGTTCGCGTTCTAACATCTGAATCGTTCCTGAATGTTTTTCAGGTGCAGGATCAGTCTCTCATCTGGAATACCGAGCTCGTCGAGGCCTTGGAGCTACAAAACATGATGCTTGTTAGTATGCACATCGTTTACGCAGCTGAAAATCGTAAAGAGTCGAGAGGCTCACACGCTAGAGAGGATTACAAGGTATGTAAGAGCTAAATTTAGAAAATTTGCATAAAACAAGTTCGTGTTGTATACATTTAGAAACGAGAAATAATTAAAGATTTATATTAATAATAAACGAAAAATAGTTCAACATTTCCAAATGCTCAAGATCATAAAGTTTTCGAATTGTTTCGGATTGATTATCGTTAAAGTCAAGAGAAGCAAAAAGTCTCACGAAACGCTCATTTGGTTTTCAGGAGAGAATCGACGAGTACGACTATTCGAAGCCACTCGAGGGACAGAAGAAACGACCTTTCACGGAGCACTGGCGTAAGCATACGCTCACATGGGCCCTGGACGATGGAACGGTGAGAAAACCGAATGAAATTTCACGGCAATTAATTAATCATCTTTCATAAATCGTTTAGCTGAGCTTTCATGTTTTTCTACCACCGTTAATTATCCATTGGCTACGTGTTCATGCACCGCATAATAACCGCATCTTGTTTACAGATTTGCATTTCTTATCGGCCCGTTATCGACTCGACGCTAGACGAAACTGAGGCCCAACACGTACCGCCCACAGTTCGCGCATACTGACCCGGATTGGAATGATTAGTCGCAAATAGCCGAGTAATTAATATGTAACGGGAATGCGACGCGATTATAAGAATACAATCGCTTGTTATGTCCACGTTGCCAAGTCCAAGTTTAACGTCAAACATAATAAATCTAGGAATTGCTGAAGTGAAACTGTCAAAACTCTTCGAAAATCTGTTCCCGCAGATACTGCGTGTAACCCCGGTTATTCCGGACACCTTATATAAGCGCGTTTTGTGCTCCTCGATAGCCTCGCACGCAACAGATGTGGACGATGGCTTATCAGCAAGTTTAATTAATCCGTATTACACTCGCATTAATTACGAATATATGGCAAGAAGTAATATAATATTTGATCGAGTGTGGTGTTGAATTTCTGAAAAATGTATCTTTTGGAAGACGTTGCTACACACTTCGCTTCTCTAACAACAGAATTACGTACAATCAATCTCTGTCCTCGAAAGAGACATAAATCGTGATGCAACAACGCAATTTAGCAACATAACAACTTTGACTTAGTTTCGTAAGAGATACGTTAATCGCACCTACGCTGATTACACTATTGCAACATCGCTGATTAATATGGAATAAATTCTTAAAGAATCATATTCTCGTTCATCGTTTTATACATTCGACTTTCTAATTATATACTAAATTCGAAAGATGTAACTAATAATTTGTGTCGTCTCAGCTCGCGTTTAATGCTACTTGTGTCTATTTAATTTCGAGGTGTAGCTAGAAAAGACCACCGCGCATTTTGTATAGAATATTATATATTTTGAAATAAAATTTTATAAAATTTGAAAAAATAAAAAGTTGTAAAATTTTATAAAATTTTATAACTTTATAAAACAATAATATAAATAAGCAATATATGTGTATAAGATATAAGATTAATATAATTATAAAACGCGCAATTTCAAAGTAAAAAATTGCGTGGCACCATGTAAAGTTTACGACGTAATAATATGCGGTGCAAGTGAAATATTAAACAGACCTACAACTTAACGGTAATCGTGAATATAGGTCAATGTCGAAAGTGCGTTGCTCTGGACCGGAGAAACGTAGTAACGAGATCACTCCTACGCATTTTTTCAGTTCGTAGGTGAGAGGTAGCCGCATTTGCCTTTCTTCGTTCCTGTCGTGCTGCGTTACGCCCCCGTTTACTAGATTATACCGGGTAAGCCAAAATAACGTGCATACTAATCATTTCAGCATTGTTTCGGTCACTGACACTTGGTAAATCCGCGGGAGCAAATTTAATTTGTTACATTTCATTGCTTCTTTCGCTTTTCAAAGTCCGAAGGGATGCCCGTTTAACTTAAAAACTCAGAGAAATCGTTAAAGCGTATAGAAGCATTATTGAGTTTGAGGTTGGCCCGATATCACTCGTGTCCGAACATTTCTGCACTCTTGTTTCCGTTTTCCTTTTCTCTCGCAGGCGAAATTGCATGGCCGCCTCACCCCGAGTGCGGAAAGTGCAGCCAAGCTACACATCGAAGTTCGCGGGATGTTTCGACGCGCACGGTTGGCGGCACTGAGCGCGCGCAACTTCGCAACAGCGGCCGGCGCGTCAGTCAGCATCGAGCCGCCGAGTCGGGAGTACGTCGTCGTGTCATTGGGGGTTAGTCGCGCGGTGCGTGTGAGTGTGTGTCTGTGCGACTGGTCGCGGGGCGTACTTCAAGAGGGTCGATCTCGCGGAACGTGCTCCGAGAGGAAGAAAGACGCGAAGTGCGGCCGAAGATGAGTGGGATGCTGAAGTTGTCGTTGCTGCCGAGGAGTCTGTCCGGAGCGACGGTTTTGGTGAGTGATTTTCATTCGAAATCTAACGGTATCCTCCGAGAAAAGAATCAGACCCGCGACGTTTAGAACCAGGTGTCTAAACCGCCGACTTCGGGTCTGTCTGCCGAAGCGATCCTCGTCAATATGTTCCCGCCGTAACAAAAATTCCACTGTTACCATAAGGCACCTCTTCCCGCAACCGTCCTTGCGCGAAATCACGCCGGTTTCGGCACACCTGGTCTAGCAGAACCTCGCTGCTTAGTGAGCGACCTCGCGCCATCTTAACAGAAAAAAATAGACGCTTTTGCGCTTCTAGCTATCCGACGTTCGATTCGTGTGACAAGTCAGAGTCGCGAATGAACTGTTGGATCCGTCATCAGGCTCGCGAATTCGCGCCGTTCATCGTATAATTTTTTTTCTACCATCCACGGTGGTGCATACACCTCGCCGATGCGGCGGATCAATTACGTAAGTAGTCATATACGTAGAATGCGAGAGTAGTCGCGGTGCGCGCGCTTCCGAGTAGAGCAAGTGCGCGAAAACGCACCTTTGTCGTCGCGTGCTCGACGTTAAACGCGCGCGGCATCCCTCTGTTTGTTTTCTTCGTCTTGCTTCTATTCCTTTCACGCGTCCTCCATGTGCTCGACAGAATGTTAGGCCAAGGGAGGGCTGCCCGCGTCTAACGGCACTTGCAACGACTCGCGATGGCGTGGAAGACGAGACTCGCTCTTCTCGCTGCTGCTAACGTCGGTATTTTGGTCGCGATGTTACTTTCACACCCTTGGCATCCATGTGCGGCACACACATCTGGAATGTCATCGGATAGCTTGGAAGAATGAATAGTGACCTTAATAGCATGTGTAGAATTATTTTCGTGGCTGTTATGTACTTTCTGTTAATTTACCGTTAGAAATTCTTATACGTATGATATTGCGTGACGTCGATATTTTTGGAGGAAATGTCATGTCGCGCGGAATATTGACGACGAGAACGCGACGTCAAAACTCGGCTAACTGACTATAATTATCTTCGTAGATTGCTCGAAGCTCTAGCGATGACATACATAAAAGAAGGAAATCGTGAGTCACGAGCAGTCTTACAATAGTTAATTAGTCAATTATACAATAATTTCACTTTATATTCAAATCATGAACTGCTCTTCGCTTTTATCACGTATTGTCGCGATTTCGTTGGAGTAGCGCCAACACGTCGTCCTTTATCAAGATCGCGCGATAACACATTGCCGTGACAACTTCATGAAGAAAGATAAAAATATTTCGCGTATATGACACTCCCATTACTTTACTGACGCATCGCTGTGATATCACATTTAACAGTTAAACACTAAAGATGATTTATTAAATTTCCAAGTGGATACAGAACATTTCGAGGAGTAAAGATCCACCTTCTTTTTTTATTTCGCTCTTATCTCTTTAGAATTGAAGCAAAATCAAAATCTTATTTTTACTGTTCACCATTTATAATTTGCCTAGATTAGATACGTCGACTTGAGAATTTTATATTCTCGAAATGAAGACAGGAAGAGTGATCTTGGATATTTTATTTTTATAGCGTCAAAAAAAGACGATAATGCGATTTTAAGCAAGAACGTTCGTCTCTTATTCTGGAGACTATCCTTGCAAATCGACGATATCTTGTGACAAATTACTAGTTTCCTCAGTTACGCAAACGGCACGCAATGTCGCTGAAATAAGGTTATTTATTTCTATTAGTCGCGTAATCGACGGTGACGTATATAGTATATACATATATACTACAGTATATATATTATAGTATATGTATACTATAGTATATACTATAGTATATACTACTAAATATAAATATATATACGCACACACATATACATTATATTCTACAATATTATATGACATTACGTAACATATTTTATGACATTATGTGTTTTTCTTCTAACCAGAATCAATTATCAAACCAGTTAGCTAATAGACGTAATTTCGAGACGCTAGTTCAAAGGAATAGTCACTCATTCGTTATATTGCGTGGTTTAGGAACGCCGAAAAAAACGCGTTATCAGCTTGTCGCGAAGTACTCGTACCTTATCAACCAGTTGTCACTTACGCGTATCAATATTATAATCTTTTGGGTGTTTTAAGCAACTTTTTATTTTATTCTTTTTCTTTATTGAAAAGACTTGTCATAGATAATTATTTGTTCCGATACGGCGACTGTAATATTCTGCCACATAAAAACACGTCGCGCCCTGACTGCGGCTGTTGAATATAAGGACGCATAAAATTTCTCTATCTGCAAATAAATTTTGTTTATCGCAAGAACGCCTCCGATAGTTATCCTCGATGCGTTGTATGTACAAATAGAACGTCGCACACATATAAAGACATTAGTGTTTACACGTACGGATTACACGTACGTGTTCACGGCTCAATATAAATAACATCGTGTCCACATGACATCTTATCTAACAATCGGTTGTTCTCGGAGTACTGAAAGGAAGTAATTGAAGGCTCCAGCGGTAACGCAAAATTGATGTAGAATAGCCGCAAAGCAGGCGTTAAATTCTCTAGTAATTTTCTTCAGTCTTTATATAAAATCGAAAATTCCACGCCATAACGTATCTTATATTCTATTATGTTATGTCATCATATTATCATATATTATCATTTCATATTATATTATCGTATGATATTACATCATCATATTATCATATTATATTATTTTATCATATTATGTAATGCCAGATGAATATTATCTTATAATATTGTATAATATATAGTATTTAAAACCAATTTTCTAGTCTTCGTTGTTGCAACATAGCTTCTGTCTTTCAGAACAAGTTGGGACTGCCATTCCTCAGCAATCGCAAGCTGCACCACACACCGGACGGTCGAGCGGCAAAGATCTCCGATGCAATCTCCAAGCAGTATCCGTTGGTGGACCACACATACGACGCGGTGGTGGTGGGAGCCGGTGGTGCCGGTCTTCGAGCGGCCTATGGCCTCGTAGCTGAAGGTTTCAAAACTGCGGTGGTCACCAAACTATTCCCGACGAGGTCGCACACAGTCGCCGCCCAAGGCGGCATCAACGCCGCTCTGGGCAACATGGAGGATGACAACTGGCAGTGGCACATGTACGACACTGTCAAGGGATCGGACTGGCTGGGCGACCAGGATGCCATTCACTACATGACCCGCGAGGCGCCCAAAGCTGTCATCGAGCTGGAGAACTGCGGCATGCCGTTCAGTCGAACTAACGACGGTGAGTGAAGACAGAAAGAGGAAGTCTACGGCCTCTCTACGGCCTTTGCGCTCGGGACGAAATAACTGTACAGCCTCGAGAGAAATAGAGGAAAAGGGCAGAGGTGCGAGAAAGTATGGAAAGTGCGATTAAAATGATACAAATAGACATATATATACATGAGTATTGCTGTAATTATAGACTTTATTCAAATTTCAGGACAATATAATTGAAGACTACTTTTCATTCACTTCATTACGGATTTAAATAGTTAACTTATATAGAAGTGATCGGAATTGTCGTTATGCATCAATGCAATTCACTAATTCATCGTCAATTTAAGAACTTAGATCCGAAATGTCCTCGCTAGTCATAGTTGCGTCCGTTTCGGGAGTCATCGAATCTGAATCGATGTCAGAATCATCCGTCCTGCTTTTGGAACGCTTTCTTTCCTAAAATTCAATGCGTTAATGAGCCTTAACGAAGAAATCTGTTTCAAGATCTTAATTGTACGCTGAAAAAGGAATAGGAATTAGCAGGTTTGTTTAATGAACCTGATCTTTCTTTTTCTGATCTTTTTGATTATCGGGTTTCTTCGACGAGTCGCCGCCGACTGGCTTATTTTGCCGCTCGTTTTTGCCGTTTTGTTGCGTTTGTTGTTTCGCCAGATTAGCTGCCTCCACGTAGGGCATCTTCTCTGTGGACGACATTCGCCGCCATCTTTGTCCCCCAAGTCGAAACAGGTCTTGGCTTTTTAATTTGTTGTGATCCTGTAATTCATTAGTAAATCACTCGCGTACGGTTTCCATCACATCATCTGTCATTCGTTACCTGTTTAAAATCCTGTATAAAGTTCAGGAAAGCGTTCGCACTTCTCCGTTGTTTTCTCTGCGGAGGCTTGCTTCGCGATCGCGAACGAGATGCTCTTCTTCTATCGTTTCTCCTGTAAGCAAAATGCAAATTTATTCTGTCAAAATACGCATTGTATCATATATAATTTGACCTTAGATTAAGTTACTCGTGTATCTCACTCGATTTGCTTGGATTTACGATCGGAAGAGGATCGCGATGTCATTTGATATTTATCATCAAAATCTCTTTCTTGTCCTCTTGCGTCTTCCGTTACTTCATATTTTTCTTCTCTCTTATCGCTGTTCTCCATGATTTAACAATGATCCCAAATATACGTATTCTATCGAAATTTTATGCACTTGTGCATTCTTATTTATTGATTAAAGTGAGAATTTGACATCACAGAGAATAATAAGTTTCCGAAATCGCATGAGAACAACAAATTTTTACGGTACGGTTGCCATGCGACTGAAGATTGCTGCTTATCGTCACGTTTGAATACCAGAAAAATTCATCTCTTTAATATATTCACTATAATTCTAAATTATACTTGTAAATTCATAAGAAACGAGAAATGAAGCGCGACTCTAAACTATCTGTATTATTTTCAGGCAAGATCTATCAACGCGCTTTCGGTGGTCAGTCGCTGAAGTTTGGCAAAGGCGGCCAAGCTCACAGATGCTGTTGCGTGGCGGACAGAACCGGCCACTCTCTGCTACACACGCTCTACGGCCAGTCTCTGAGCTACGATTGCAACTACTTCGTCGAATACTTTGCCTTGGACCTGCTGATGGAGGATGGAGAATGTCGAGGAGTGATTGCGCTCTGCTTGGAAGACGGAACGCTTCATCGCTTTCACGCCAAAAATACGGTACTTGCTACTGGTGGCTACGGACGCGCGTACTTCTCCTGCACGTCCGCGCACACCTGCACCGGAGACGGTACCGCCATGGTCTCCAGAGCTAATCTGCCCAATCAGGACTTGGAGTTTGTGCAATTTCATCCCACAGGTACTATGTCACATATGTTGAGATTAAAAGAAAACGCAATTATTGTATGTAGGGACAAAATTGGGACGTAATATATAAGAAAACATTAAGAATGCTATCTTAAGACATTGCTCATGAAAAGCAAACATTTGTTTTGTTAGTTGAACACTGTTGGCTAGTTTACAAATTATTTAGAATATATTTTGACAATGGTCAAAACAACAGTTGAACAATGTTAAGAACAACCGATCAACCGATCATATGTTAAGAGAATACACGAAGTATTAAAGCACGATATGAACTGAAATTATACTTCCGTAGGTATTTATGGCGCCGGATGTCTGATCACGGAAGGAAGCCGTGGCGAAGGTGGCTACCTGATAAACAGCGAAGGCGAAAGGTTCATGGAGCGTTACGCGCCGGTGGCAAAGGACTTGGCATCACGAGACGTAGTATCACGATCCATGACTATGGAGATTAGAGAGGGCAGGTGAGTCATCCGTTGAGTTCTTCGCCTGCTCGATATATTATATTATATTAGCGATAAATATAATTCCTTTTTTTGCTTAGAGGCGTCGGACCAGAGAAGGATCACATCTACTTGCAGCTGCACCACCTGCCACCTGAACAGCTGGCCGCTCGGCTGCCAGGAATCTCAGAGACGGCAATGATCTTCGCAGGCGTCGACGTGACTCGAGAGCCCATTCCCGTTATACCCACGGTCCATTATAACATGGGTACGCAAATCTAAGTCAACATCCTTCATAATGATGAGTTTTCCTCCACATTAATATTCATATGATGACTTCATGGAATTATTATTCGCAATGAAATTATCATTGGAATAGCCATCACTATTCCTTTCTAGACGCAAAAGTAGTTCCGTGAAATGGAATGTAAAGTATATCTATGAAAATTGCATAAAATAATTGCGTCAGCTCTTACTTGGTTCTTGCTAAACTTGCTACTGATATTTTATTTTATATGATTTGTGGAAATTAGAAAAATTAAGATTAATTTTAAGAATGTGTAATTCAAATTTGCAGGCGGCGTACCGACAAACTACAAAGGTCAAGTACTGACTAGGCAGAATAATCAGGACAAAGTAGTACCCGGATTATACGCGTGCGGCGAAGCGGGTTGCGCGTCCGTTCACGGCGCTAACCGACTGGGTGCCAACTCTTTGTTGGATTTGGTCGTCTTTGGACGTGCTTGTGCTAAAACTATTGCTCAAGAGAATAAACCCGGTGAAGCGATCGGGCCTCTGAGATCTGTGAGTATGCACCATAATTCCAAATACTACATTTTTTACACCATACTTGATCTTGACTAAAATAAATGATGTGTTTAGAACTCTGGTGAAGAGACGGTGGCTAATTTAGATTGTGTGAGAAACGCCAAAGGCTCCATTTCCACCGCGGACCTGCGGTTGACTATGCAGAAGACCATGCAGACGCACGCAGCGGTCTTCAGAATGGCCGAGACTCTGCAAGAAGGTAAAAGATTGCTTCTTTTTTTATTCCGTGCAATTATACGTTTAATTTAAAAGCATCACATAATACTAGTTTTTCACAATCTTTTCCAGGTTGTCAGAAGATGACCGATCTTTACAAGAAGCTCGATGAGTTGAAAGTAGCGGACAGATCTCTGATATGGAACTCCGATTTAGTAGAGACGTTGGAATTGCAAAATCTCATGATTAACGCGATGCAAACGATCATGGGGGCAGAACAGAGGAAAGAAAGTCGCGGCGCTCATGCCCGCGAGGATTTCAAGCAGAGAATTGACGAGTACGACTACAGCAAGCCGCTCGAGGGCCAAGAACCGAAACCGCTCGATCAACATTGGAGGAAGCACACGTTATCGAAGATCAATCCAAAAACAGGAGAGGTATTTTAATATTTTTCTTATATCTTTCTCTTTTTATATTTTCCTCCCTTTATATTTTCTTTTTGTTACATGTAAAGGATCCATTCTTTTTAGTTAAGTCAAGTTGTACTTTTTGCTTTTAAAGTGGAATGGAATGAATAAATGGAATAAGTATATTACTCAGAATTAAAAGAGAAAAAAGAAATTACAGTGCAGCACTGATTCAGTTTAAAAGAACAGACTTATAGATTGAGAAGCTCGCATAAGTCAACTAGTTTCACTATTAATCGCTGTTTGTTTCAGGTGTCACTCGAGTACAGACCAGTGATCGACGTTACGCTTGACCAACAGGAATGTGCGACGGTTCCACCAGCGATTCGTTCCTACTAGACTAATTTTAAATGGACAATCGATCGATCCATCATCCTAGAACTCATTTCACCGACGAATTTCAGTCACGCGATCGTCCCGCGATTGTAAGTCTAATGATCATACTTAGACCGATGTATTCGGAATCGTCGACGACGACGACGATTTTTTCGTACTGCTGCTACTTACTACACTACGTGGTAACAGACCTTAATTTATTTTACATACATACACACACAGAAAAAGAAACATACATACATACACACGAACTTCATCGTGCACCAAAGTTAATTCTTGTCATCGCTTGCGCGCGAGTCGCGAGCAGGATTAGTGATCCTTGTAGGATACCGGTGCCGAGTATTATCTTCTCGTGGTCACCCGCAGGGATGATTACGCACGATCCTCGTTCAGCGGATCGGTGTTCAGTTCGCGTGAAGTAATAGTCGAAACTAGAATGAACGGAGGGTGGAGCTCCGGGTATACGTGGGCCTTTTAAGGATAGATGTTTTTGTAATGTAAGACGTCCGGTTGCAACGTGTTTCTCCCACAGCGCTCAAGATCTCGAGCACGGTGTAACGTACCATCGCGTGCAATAATACGCTCGGTGATAGCGCAGCATCACCGGTGGACTTAGTCGAGCGACGTGTCGCTCAACGTGGAGTCACGATCAACGATACGTGTACAGGTTTTCTTAAGAACTTGTGCTGCCCTCGATAGCAGTAGCAGAGTTTCTAAGTCAACCTCTCGTTTCTTGCGTGCGTCCATCGTAAAATCCTTTCAAGGTATTTGTTCTTATTTATATTTATTTGTGCACATGAAAACTGGTATTTCATGTTCATTATTCTTGCACACGACGGTACGGTTCGATGCCGTGCTGCTGTACTTTGATACGATTGTTGTTTGGCGTTTGTCGCTGATACTTATACATAATACTGCAGTTTTACCATCGCGGAAAATACGCAGAATCATGGAAAGAATTTATTTTTTAGATACATATTTTCTTGCAGATTTATGGAATTTGCGGATTTACGGATTTGCAGAATCGGTTGATACAAAGAAAAGTATGAGTCAATCTTGTAGTATCGAATATTTGTTGGAAATGTGATCATCTTATCAATCAATCTCTCGTGCTTCATTTTTTTTAAAGTGAATCATGGAATCATCATCATAAATATCCTTTACGCGCAAACATGATTATGAGCACACACTCCTTAAAAGGTTGTGAAACGGTATGCTAATTTCGTTGCGGTCGAATACTTAAATACTTTACTGAACGATAATATGGAAACAGTATTAATATTAAGTAATCCTGTCTGAATATATTTTTGTATACATATATTTATATATGTATATATTTATGTACATATGTCTTTATTTTACTTTACTTCAGTTTACAATGCTAGGAAGTTCTTAAGTTTTACTTTAACCTTATTTTTATATTTTTCCTACACCTCCAACTTCTTTCTTTTCCTTTTTCTTTTATCCTAATTGTTTCTTAATCCTACTTCTTTTCCTTTTATCTTTTATTCTAAATATTTTTTATCCTATAGTTGGCAAATTTCATCCCTTGGATTTCTTATGCTTAGATTTCTTATTCTAGACTCTCTTGTCATGCCTTCCGAGAGGAGTGCGAACGCCAGAAAATTTTTCGATTTCTCTGGGAATCAAACCCGGGACCTCTCGTATGGTATAAACTGAGGCCTTATTCTCGAAAAATATCGCATACGATATTTCGATAAAAAGCTATAATATACGTCACATGAACTATAGCTTTTCATCGAAATATCGTATGCGATATTTTTCAAGAATACGGACCCTGATGTGCGGTCTACTATGCTACGCTCGCACTCTTTTATGTACATAGGTATACATATATATTTGTATATATACATATATGAAAGCTATACACACTAGAAAAGAGGCTAACATTTATGAATTTGTTATAATATATGCAATTATTTCGCGAAGAAATAATTATATATTTATCTCGATTTCGCTTGTGTGATATCTAAACAATTAGTGAATTATAATTTTATTCATAACATTTTAATTCCATCGATTAAAACTGTTTCCATGTTATCCCTGATAGCGTATTACTGATATTCGGTATTTCGTAGAAGGTGAATTTAAATAAAAACATTATTAAAAACTAGAATACTGCACAGAGAGATATGAAATACTATAGTCTCGGTCTGTAAAAATCGTGCGAGCATGATGGACAAATGTACATAAATCGCGTAGAATGTCAATAATAAAGCGTTGATTACACCTTTTATTTGCAAAATGCACTAAATTGTTTGAACACCGAGTCGATAACGAATTACGAAATAAGAAGCTCGAGAGTTTTGTTACTATAAGATCTCTAACAGCAATCACTGAATGTAATTATATGCAGACCGTCGGCAAGATTATCTTGCGGTGACGGCGAGAGGGAAGGAGTTGACGGAATAATAAGTCGCAATGTGAATTTTCACAGATATTTATTAAACCCATACTAGAGTGGTACTCGTCATAAATAAGAAGTTCGCGGATTAAATAAAAACTGCTACCGAGGACGATTTTCTAAAGCATTAAACTAAAGCTCCTCGCCGCTAATACCTCAGAAAATTCTTTACACATTACGGCTTCTTTTAATTTAATCGATGAGGATGCGTCTCGATGAACATGTAGTCGCACTCGCAAATAACATAATGTACGTAATATATGTATATACGCTGCCGAGGAAAGTCGGTACAAATGTTCGAAAACGTACCACGACGCAACGCGCGGTTCTTACTACATTCTCGCTAAGAAAGGCTTCGGCACGGGATTTCTTACAAAACGATACAAATCCGAGAGAGTCATTGGCACGACGTTAAATGCTTTCCAGGACGACTCGACACGAAAGATCGACCGCGAGCACCGTATTTAATAGCCAGATATCGATTTCAATTTATGTTGGAAATCATTGAAACAATTCGTGAAATAATATCATCATTAGAGACGTAATATCAGTGAAATTACATCAATTTCAACTAAGTGAAGTCTTTTTAAGAGAACGAGATTTTCCTTCTCGACACTCGCGATCTTTCTCGCGTTGAGTCTGTAATCGTTGAATTACGGGAGATACTCGGGCGGACTTATTAATGAAGAAGTTCCGCCGGGAAAGCGGACGATTTAAGCGAGCAAGACGTATCTTTTTCGTTTGTTTGCTATTTTAGAGAAATGCTACGAATACGAACGGAACTCGTTTCGAACTTTCATAGGCCTAAGGAAACTCGCGTGATTTCTGCTCGAATTATACAAGTTAGAGGATACAAGTGAGTGATTTTACCTTTCCTCGATTTAAAAACGAACGGCTACGAACTAAATTCGCTGACGACAGCTAATTGCCTCAGGGTGGAAACGATATTCCTTGGGATTCGCACCGATTGCCTATCGATCCTTAGGACTATGACGACGATTAAACCGCGTTATAATGATTAAACATCAAATTCTTACTAGAAGAGGCAACTTGAACTAATTTTGTCGTTTATCGTATACATCCGCAAAGCTCGGGGGTCGTCTCTCGCCGGTGATATAGCGTGACGATTAAGCAAGATTATCGAGTTACAATTCGTCCTATAGCATCGATACGTCGTGCTCTCGCGCGAAAGCCGCTCGTCGGCTTTGCGCCGTCAGATCGCTCGAAGTCGATGAATTTCTCGCCTAGTAATTATCCTAAAATTCGCATAATGCAAACGCGCTCCTTTCGCGACAGAGAGGCCGAGGCTTGTAACTTGCGTTACGTAAAAAAGTAAAGTGAAAGTCCGGCTTCTCGGGATATTACGTGTAGGAACGACTGGAGATCTCTAAAGCTACCGTTCGTCGAGATGGCTCGAGTCGTGAGCGATGAATCTTCGAGAGAAAAAAAATGCAGAGTGGCGAACGATTTCCGTCTATGTAAAAAAATCGTCAAGGTCTATTCGTAACGAGTCTTCGATGAGTACAGGCGCGGTGGAGTAGCCGCAATTGCACTGCGAGCGAGTCGCTCTCGAAGAGGAAAGCGCTCTATACGTTCAAGTCCAGAAATTAAAAACCGTCTCGCGAACAGCGAGACGAAAAATTGCGCTAACTATTCGCATTTCTCGAACATTATTTATATATACAGAAAGCCGGATAAATGCGAGACGCACCCAGACGGAATTATTCGAGTGTGTCCCGTACATACACGGTTCACGCCTAGCCGACTTCTCTCATCAATGCTACACGTACACACACGCATTCATCATGCACACGCGCGTCTCCGTCGCCGAACTATTCGGTTTAGAATCTACAATTCTAAAAGATTTCAAAGGACAATCGAATCGGTTCAGATGCCGTCTGCGCGTTCCCGAGCAAAAAAGCCTTTTTAACTTTCGAGACGGTTTAGTGAATTGAAGACTATCTCGCAATCTCTCAACGTCGTGGTTATCTCAAAGGAAACCGTAGACTTTTTTTTCCATAACAATGTGCAATAATAATATAATGTGTCCAAAGAAAGAAGATTACGCAGCGACGAAAGAGGAACTGCCGGTGGTGGAACTTCAGTTAAGATTCATCGACGAATTAAACCGCCGAAGGGAAGCATCAATGCGATGGATCAAAGCAGCCCTGCTTACGATCTTCAGTCCGGGCGGCGAATGAAGAAAGCTCGGATAGCTGGATCGGGGTCCACTCGAGAACCAGATGGCACCAGATGGTCTTCTTGCTTTGGTAGTCCGCGCGGCGCGTTCAAAAAGCCAATTCGCAGCAACGTGTAGGAGTCAGCTTCCGTGTAGCATTGCGCTTCTGCCGGGAAGGCGGTGACGATGGTGATTGACCAGCGACGACAACCATGACAGTGGTCTCAGACATCGGGAAACCGACCCAATCCGACGTTGTATCGTCGGTAGAAAAAGATATATATATGTGGAGAAAGAGAGAGAGAGCAGTCACGGGAGCAAGCTTTTACTGCTTCTTTCCCGCCCTTTTCTCTCTTTCTTCTTGTATGTCGTCAACCGCCCTCCTCAGGAACATAATCCATATCACGTACGATTCGCATTCATACTTTTTCTTGCTCTATCTTTCCCTCTTTCTCTCTTGGTTCCTCTCACACGCGATGATGGTGGGTGACGCTAGATGGAGTGATGGATTAAGTCTTGTGCATTGTCGATGGCTTGAGTGCCGGCCGTCGACGGCGTTCACGAAGTAGCCCGCAACTTCTCCAACGCGGGCACCAGTGATTCCTCCAACGAAGGTCCGCAGCTCAGGCCGCATTCGCCGATCCATCTCGCTTTGCCGCTTGCGTGCGACTGTAATGCAGAGGGAGAGAGAGCCATGTGAAACTCACGTGTTTATGTCTCAAGAAAATTACCTTCCTCTTGGAATTTATTTTAAACGACAATAACGTCAACAACGAAATTGTATCGCAATTTTATGTACCGTGATATTGTTACCAATGTGAATAATATCGCGCTACCACCGCTGGTCTCGCAACCCTCGATCAATCGCTCGCGATCGTAGCGACCTCTAACGAGTATTTCGCAAATATTGTTGATATCATCAGTTTCGAATTCAAGGACCAAAGTAGAATGAAGAAACGCGCTCACAGAGTTCTCTCTGAATCATCAGTCGCATAAAATTGACTGAGATCGTTTCACATGACGATAAGTAACAAACGACGAGCAAGTAATACATTATTTAATCAATGATTTAATGAAAGCGAGACGCGGCGCGGGGTACAGCGGATCGGAGGTTAACGTCTCGGCCCGATCTCGAGCATTTTATTCGTTCATAGAGGTCATCTGTTCACAGGCAGACATTTACCATGGTGAGGTCACGCTTCCACGCGGTATGGCAGCGACCGTCGCAGAGCGGGCACGGTCGTTGTAGAGAGTAGCCGCCACATTCGCTGCAGTCCAAGGAAACGTGCTCCTCGCTCCACGATACCCCGCATCTGCATGAAAAAGAAAAACAGGATAGTGAGCGATTGTCATGAATTTATTCCGCGCGCGCGTTATGCCAGCTGCGACACGACGAAACGAAACGCGGAAGCCGCCTGACACAACACAACTCGCGTAAAAAGCGACGACACGCGCTGACGCGCACAACTCGACCGCAGACCTCGTCGTCCAGAAAATACGCGGTCCTCTCGAGGAAAGCCTCACCGATCCGACGATTATTACGGTCGAGAGTCCGACTTCTCGCGGGATCATGTAATTGTGACAATTGTTTGGCGAGTATTTGGCGAGGCGACGATGGTTAGATTAGAATCGTCGACGAATTGAACGCGATCCAGAAAACAGCGACAAAAGAGCGCAAAGGTGGCTTTCTGTTTGGTGGGAATATTTTCCACCTAACAAGTGAAACTTGACTCCGCTTTAGATCGAATGTATGTCTCGATATCGATTCGTAATCGCGACGATTCGCACACGATACGACGAACACCTCGCGAAACGCTTGCTCGAGGCTAGCTCCGAATGTAGGGCATCGATTTAACCGCGTCAACCGCCGCCAGATAAACACTGGGTGTACCTACTAGCCTCATTTTAGCATCCCATGTATCGATAAGGCGCTTTTAGGTGAGCGAATTAACGCCGCCATGTGAGAAAGCGAGCGTCACGATGACATTCCCACTGGTGTTAGCTTTGAAAAAAAACATCGTTCTCTATTTTAATCTACGTTTTGCACTTAATGAAGTAACTGAATTAACTGCCACGTCGAAGGTGTTGCCAGTCTCGCGACGGAGGAAAAAAATCGGAGGCTCTCTGTCTCTTTCTCGATGATGCGTCATCGCCGCAGCGGAGGACCGTATCGAGCGTCGTCGCGCGTGTATACTCTGGATCGCACCGGATTCCATTGAGCAGACGACTACGTCTGTGCGTCTCTCGTTGTGTAATCCACAATTAATTCCCACGCTCTGTCGCTCGTAGAATTCCGCGTTGCCGTTCGCGTCGCAGCTGCGAGACACGATTTATGTCCGTGTAGCACTTGCTGCTCCCGACATTCGATTACGCTCGTAATGCCCCAATCAGCCGGGCTCTATATCCACCGTTCGAGAAGCGGGATGAGCAGAAAAAAGGGACAACTCGCTGAAGGAGCGAACTCCTCCAGCTCGCTGAGAAATGTTTGATGAAAGAAAAGGAGGATCTTGGGGATGAAAGAGAGAAGAGTCGACTGTTGTGAATCAAGATCGTTAGAAGCGGCGTCGAATGACAAGTGGGCGAAACAAGTATTCCTCGAACAGTGGATCGCAGTATCATTGGGAGAATGAAGACTTACGTAAAGCAGGAGTTCAGTTGAGCCCGTAGCTCCTCTATCGTGACAATCGTGTCCTGGTACTGGGGATGCGAGCCTTGGAGACCGTCGTCCACACTCCCGCACAAGCTATGGCATAAGGAGATGTTGCTCCTGCAAACCGATCAAGCACAATCCACATAAGCGACGTCTGACTCTCGTGGAATTCATTTCGTTCGGAATCGTTTATTTTCGTCGAGCTTTTCACACGACTTCACGATTGTCACAGCGCGTGAAAAAAATCACCGTGCCGTTGCGTCAGTTGTTTTCTTTATTTTTCTTTCCGGAAAATGTTTATCGTTCGGAATCTACGCACGAGCAACGAGGAAAAACGAGCTTTACGATTGAGAGCGAGTGTCTGCTTCTATTTTCCGAGCTCCGCCGGGACCCGACCTGAAGCTCCTCGCTTTAATTGCATGACAAACGGATATTTCTCGAGACGAGTCCTAGGAGAGATCGACCTCGTGAACCCCGGAGCTCCGTTGTTCGTCGGTAGAAACCGTCACGAAACGGTTCATGGAGTCCATTCACGACGGGTTTTACGCTGTTTACGAGAGACGATTCGTCAAGTCGTGGCGGAGCTACGATAGGTTGGACCAAACTACCTTGAACCTGCCGAAGAAAGAGAGGCCGCGACGGTATGTCGGTGTGAGCCCGACGGATTAACTCGAATGAGTGTGCGTACATGGTAATCGGGAAAAAAAACATCTCCACGTGACGGCGACGTGAACGCACGCGTAATGAGCCGCGCGTCCTGTCACTCTCTTTATCTATGTATGCGCGCGCTTATTTTGTGTGTGTGTGCGCTTCACGAACGCGGATTCGATACGGCGATGTAGATACACGAGGGAACAAAGACTGGACCGACAGGCTTTCCTGAATGACCGTAATCGTAAGGCGCGATCGACTAACAGGTACAGTCATCGTTCTCCTCTTCGCTTCTTTTTCCCTTATTTCCGTTACGTAAACGCTCTACGACGCGATGAATCTCGGCGGATGTGATCCTCGTGAACACGAGGAATCCTCATGAGACATTTTCTAGCCGGATGAGGAGAGCTTCCAGAGTTTCGCGTCGCGCTCGAGATTGGAAAACGACGGGAAATCCGTGTGAGATCCGATTGGATTCTTGCGACGGAAAAAGAGAGAAAGGAAGAAATCGCGCGTCGACAAGGAGCGCGGGAACGAATTCACCGGAGTCTTCGACTGCGGATGTGAGTCGCGCCGAGATTCCAATTCAGTCGCGATCGTATTCTTCCGCGAGATCCTTCAGACGATCCTGCGGCCGCAACGGCCATAATTCTCGGCGCTGAAACGCCTCTTAACGTCCCTTAATTGGCGTTTCCGGCTGGGACGCGCACGCGACGCTACGTAGGAAGTTAAGTTATGCGCCGCGCACTTGAACGGAAACGGGAAACGGCGCAACCGTGGGTCCGATTAAAGTACAAACTGCGAGACCGCGCTTCCCTCTCCTTCTCTCTCTCACGCACGTGCGCGCGCGTCTTCTCTTTGTCGCACTCGAGATCGCACCGTTCTCCTTTAGCGCTAATTAGCCACGACGGCATTATTAAAAACGCGAGAGACCGCGATGCGATTGCGCAATGGATCGCCGTAACGAATCGCAGCCGCACCTCCGTCCGTCCGTCCGTGTCGGACAGAGAAGTAAATATGAAGATCGCGAAGGCCGCGATCTAAAAGCCGCGATATTTCGAGGCAGCTCGGGGACTCATGAATGCGACAACAAACGCGTCGATTTCCCCGCAACAGGAAAAATCGCTCGAGATACGTCGAGCATTTGCAATTCAAGAATTGCACCGCTCACGCTTGACTTCTTTTTTTTTCTTCGTCTCTCCGCGAATGCGGGATCTTTACTCACCCGTGACGGGACAGGCTCTCCGCATTGGGCTGCACAGAAGTGACCGACATGTTGAGCTGATTTAATTGGATCTGACTTGATCGACTGGTGACTTCTGAAACACAAAAATGGGAAGAATGTTTACAACGATGCTCGTTGCGACATCAGAAAATTTCGTTTTTGCTTTCCATTTTCTTCCTCATTTCCTTCTTGGTTTTTGCTTTTACTCTTTCCCTTACGTATCGAGCGACGGAAAGTGGGGAAGCGGAAAATCGCATATGTAAATGTGCGTCGATGAATAATTCTCGCTAGACGTGCTCTCGATACGGCGTGACAATTATAGACACGACCGGGATAAATAAACTATCTTTTTACGTTTTGCCTGCACAAATAACCCCGAGGATTCTTCGTCACGCACGAACGCACGCAAGGAATGCTGGCGATAAGCGAAGAGCGTGGCAGGAAATCCCCGTAGGAGGACCGATAACGCCGATAATGATCGGAACGTGTTGACGTAGATACGTCGAACCTATCGTCGCGCATAGTTAAGTACGAAGGACAAGCGAAGCCTCTGGAGATTTCATCGGCATGTGCTTCATATCTCAAAGACCAAGGTCGGCGGTTAACATTCAACGTCGTAGCTTTTGTCGCGGCCCAAGGCTCCGCCGCCGCCGTGCTTCTAAGTCTGGCTAGAAAAGAGAACATCACACGCCGGTCCTTTCGGCAAAGAAGTTCGTGGCGCAAAGTCAGCAAGTGAAATCATTTTTTCGTCAACCGGCGACGTCAAACCACACGCGCGACTTTGATGTTATCGTTGGTAAACACCGTGTTAATGTGCCAACAGTGTTCCATTAAGACTCGATAAGAGCGAAGATTAATGAGACACCAACGAGGAAGAACGAGAGAAATTTCGACGATCATTTTCTCTCTGAAGCGTCGGAAATCCGCAGTTTCGGAGTGTTAAACGATTAGTCACGGTTTTCTCCTCTCGGCTTAAAAGCCGCCAATTGCGGATGTGTATTACTAACTAAGAAATTACTACTATGTAACGCGCTAATGTTACGGGATTAGTGCACAAGGCGTTGGATGATTTATTAGAGCGGCGCACGTATCGCGCGAGCCGACAGCGAGCGAAGGACAAGCACGAGAGCGGATTTCACCACGATCTCACCTTGGCACGAAACCCGCGCTCACGCTTTTGCTTTCTACGAGAAAGCATATCGACAGGCCCACACACAAACGCGCGCGCGCGCGCGCGCGCGTAAACGTGTACCGCGTCCGCGATATCGATAAAGCCTCGCGACTTCCGTCACACGTTACGTAACCGCGAAAGGCGAGCGGGCGACCCGCGATCGTTCTTGCCAATTTTCCGACTGGCTGAAGTCCAGACGGAAGGTGAGAGAAGAAACTCACACCGTCCCGTTGAAAGCGCGATCAGACGTGAAAGGATAACGTATCCTATGGGCTTTCGTGCCTTCGAGTCTCCTCTCCTCCTTTTCTTGCCGTCCTGCCGTCCATTAATTCTACACAATGATCGTGTTGCTGGATTGGTGCAAAAGATTTGGCGTTCTTCTGCTGAATTCTCGCTGGAAGTGCGGAGATTAGGAGGAAAAGAGATCCTCGTTACATGTCTAAAAAGATATCTAGTCGATTTTGTAAAAATTATTGACCCAAGGAAATTAGATCGCGTTGTTTTCTATTTTATTTGACAAACACGATAAAAATGTTTTGCGCCAATTTAATATCAAGTTGATCATTATATTGAGTTGATCATTTTGAAAATCTTCTCACAAGAAAGAAACCGAGGAAGAAACATTTGAAAACTTATTTGCGGGATATAAAGTTGGCTTTTGAAAAACAAAATCTATTTCTGTGAAATAAAATTTATTTCTGTGTAAGAAAGTTTACTTCTCTGTGTGGAAAAGAAACTTTATATCCCACAAACAAAACTTCATTTTCAGTGTACACATTCCATTCGTCAGCATACTTCTACTTGAAAAGTGCTTGGCTCGTATCGACACTTGTTCAGTGTTTATGAGAAAATATTTTTTAATCAACCCCAGCACGTCGATATACGAGTTTCATTCACGCGATAAATTGCCCAGAAAATTACTACGAAATTGCGCATACCGCCGAATGAAGTAGAGAATTTCAAGGATTTTCTGACCAGCACTTGACAGCCGTGCGAATATCGTTGTAGACAACGATGACGATAACGATGGAGTATAACAAACGAAGTCGATAAGGAATGCCTCCGGCATGCCGCAATGCATATTGGAAATAAATAATCGCACACCGCTGTAGTCGCGTCACAAAGTGGAATTGTCTGTATTTCGTACACCTCCGTGTGCATGTCGCGCATCGATTAAACGAGAAGGCAAGCATAAGTCGATAAGAATCGCAAATACGAACGTCCCGGCGACATGCTACGTCGATCGACCTTTGAAAACTATCAAGATCGTTGATTAAATATCCAGCCGATCATAAAATCCTCTGACTTTCGAGGTTGCGGGGACACAAACTGCAAATGTCACGGAGTGAAATCTTAATCGAAAAGTAGAATCATCATCGAGTCGCTCGAAATCAAATAATTTTAAGTCTAAGTTTTTTACTCGAATTGTATAATATATGCAACATTACATTTGTAATCGCGATTCAGCTGAAAAACTCATCAAATTCTAAATTTAAATCTGGATATGTTTTTAGTCACTGTCTGAAATCAAGAAATTTCACTCGAAAAATACAGTAACTCTCGAGTCGCTCGAATTCGAGTAATCTTCCATCGATTCAGAGCGACTCATAGAAGATTCAATCCTTCACTCTGAATCGTCGTGTGAACATCATCGCTCTAGATTGTGGAGTGGATCCGACGTACTTATCTGACACAAGAACATATTCATTCCAATTGATTGAAACATTGACTCATACGGGATCAGGATCCACTCCAAGCTGAGTGAGACATTCGCTCTTGCGACTTCAAGTGGCGGCATTCTCACTATCACTCCGAGCGAAAATACTGCGATTTCTCACTCGTTTTGAGTGAAATTCCACGCCGGAAGAAATTTAGAGAGTCACATGCGTGCCTTCACGCGGTGTGCGTGTGCGTGATGAGTCATTTTCGGCGGTTTCGCGAGCGAAATATGATTCAGCCGGGCGGGAGAACCTCGCCAATCCGATTGTTCGCAGATACGGCACAATTGTCGCTCTGCGTAGCTCGGATAGCGTTTAAAGTACAGTGTGCGGGTAGACAGACACAACGCGCGCGTTTACACACATACACACACATACACGCACGCACGCACGACGGGATCGATACACGTCGTCCTCGTCGTCGCTGCGTACTACGTCGCGCGCGCGCGCGCGCGCGCGAGCCGATCGATGCATTTGCATTTATTAACCCCTACACTACGTAGAATCGCGCGTGCGTCGAGCTCTCTGCCGCGCGTTAGCGTAATCACTGATAAAACCATCGACGGTCGTGGGCGCGCGGCCGAGTGAATTCCCGGCATTCCACGGGATGGAGTAATCGATATATCGGTCGTGCCGAGCGCGAGAATGCAAACTAAGTTCGTCAGGCCGATTTAATAATAGTAATACCGACGAAAGTGGATTAAACGGCCGGAGCTGAAACGACAACGACGGTGACGGATGGGGCGGCGGAGGCGGAGACGGTGGCAACGGTGGCGACGATAACGCGCGGTGAAAAGAATCGCGCAAACCACGAGACGACTCTGATAAAAATTTATCGCGCATAATAACCACATTATCGCGATACGGCGCACGCTTACACGACGTGTTACGGGAATGTAAACGTGCGCTCCGTTTTCCACGCTTTTTCCCGGAAGAACGAAATATTTCGCGTTATCGCGAGCGAGTCTTCAAAGCTTATCTAATGCATTGGAGACGCAGCGAGCATTCTTTAAAAACGTTGCTTATTTTTACCATAAATTTCTTAGAGGGGGGACTTTCACGTTGTTGCGTCGTTTTTTCCGATAACGCACCTCCCTCTCTCTCTCTCTCTGTCGTTTTCTCGAGTCATTCCGTGCGCGTCGCACTTACCACGACCCCTTTTACGCGCGATCGCGCAGTTATCGCCGCCGACCTCGAGCAATTATTGCCGTTTTGCTCGTCTCGCACGGATGAACGATCACGCAATCGCGGTATCCTGTACAAAAAAATCATTTGCGTATCCGTGTCTTCTCTGCGCCTCGTACGACGTGAGAGAAAATTGCATTTTGCATCTTACGAGAGTGAAAGAGAGAGATTTATTGTAAACATACGTGAGGATCAATGGAACTTCTTCATAATTCGAGGAATTATTTCGAAGAATTATTTCCGCTTCTGTAAAATTTACTGTGATTTGTTTATGATATTTATCCTCCCTGATTAATCGCGACGAAGTGGCGCACTCTTTACACTAACGCGACCGTTAGCGGCCCGGGGAACACATCCGGATTGGGAACCGTCATCCGCTAGCTCGTTCCGGCGCTTGGCGTTTTTGGCGGCCAACGTAGTCGTTGTACACAAATTGCGACAATGTAACGCTATACGATGCAACTCGGTCGCAGCGCCAAGCCGAGCCGAGTCGAGGCTGATGACGATGAGTCAGTGGGATAAATCGCGAAGGTAACGTAATTTCTCGAGAAACGTGGCGCCAAGATCTCGCGAGAGAATTCTCTCCCGCTCTTTCTCTGTGTACATGCGCGTGTATGTACTAACTGTTCTTGAAAGAAACGAGCGCGATACCTCTGAGCGCGTCTTACATAAGGATCGTGCAAATCAAGTCCGCTTTATACGGAATTTGTCCCGGACTCGCAATAGTTACGAAAGCAAGAACACTCATCGTCGTCGATTTACCGAGCACGGAAGTTCACCGATTAAAGTAAGAATACCAATTTCTGCGAACACGCACGTTAAGAAGAAAATACCAGAAAATTGTTTCTTTCTTCATTTCTTTTTTCTTTATTAAACTTCTTTCTTTTTTAATCAATGTATGTGTCTATATGTTATGTTAAAAATTTAAATATTCGTGAGACTAAAACAAAAATGACCAGAATTAGATACATATGTGGGAATTGGTACTTTTACCTTACCTCCATCGACGAGAGGAGAAAA